TATATGAAGAGCTTCGTTATATATATATATATATATATATACGTATTTTTTGTTTTTCTTTTTTTTTCTGAGGAGGGCTTGACAAACTTTAACTGAAAATTTCAACAAAATTGATTAGTTAATGCGACGGGTTGCTTATGATCCTTTCAGGGCTTAAGAGATGACACTTGAAACAAGTGGAAATATAAGATGGAAAGAAAAGAAAATTTAAAGTGACACTTAAAACCCCTCCCTCCCCCTCTCCCTCCTCCTCCCCCCTCCATCCCCTCCGGGTCGGGCTTAATGGTGAATTGAAATGGGCGGTGGTTTTAAAAAGGGCTCAATATCGAAGTATGAAAGTGCCATTAAGAAGTAAGTAGATAGAGTTCTGGTTACACTTAGCTTTTCGAAAGAGAGCGACTACGAAACGGCAAGCTCGCAGTGAAATATTTATTAGCTGGGAAGGAGTAGCCTCTTAAGCTCCTAAACTGATGGCCGTCATTAAGCAAAAGCACTACAACCCTCCTCTCCCCCCTCCCAGTTCATCCCCCTCCAACCACGTTTTTATTTATTTATTACGCTCATATTTATAATAATATATATATATATATATATATATATATATATATATATATATATATATAACATATATATGTTATTATATGTTACATATATATATGTTAGCTGAGAAATCTGGACTTAAAATCTCCTTCCAGAAGACTACATTTATGACCACAAATCCCAACTTTAGGAAGACAGAAATAAAAAGAAATTCAAGGTGGTTAAAAGCTTTAAATATCTGGGCGAAATAATCAGCAGAAATTTATCGGAGAAAGCATGGAGTATAGGATTAAAAATTTGGGAAATTATGCTACTTAACGAGTAGCATTTATAATAAAAAATCCAAAATCAGGCACTACAATACAGCGGTAAAGCCAGTGATACTGTATGGAACGGAGACCATGTTCTTTCCCAGTCTGGAGAAACTGCTTAAAATAGAAAGAAGGATTCTTGGAAGAATCCATGGGCACAAGAGGAAGAAAAAATTTAGCGACATCCTCAAGCAGAGATGGGCAGAAAGGAAGAAATTGAAAAAGAAAGCAGTCATAGTCGCGCAGTCCTTCAGGGCTGTTTTGCGTCAAATAAAATAAACAAATAAAATAATACAGAAAGGAATTTCACACTTTAAAAAATCTGATGCATTGCATGCATCACACAACGTTCACTTACTAGACTACCTAGAGCAAAAATTAATTTTAAGTGAATTAATACAAAAAAACTATGATCCATAACAATCCATGAAATAGTCCGCAAAACAGACTCATTTTTATCAAATTTTTAACACCCGTCTAAAACATCGTGAATGCCTTCATCTTAGCACACTTATTGAGTTTATATACAAAAATTACCGGAAATTGGGCGTTTTATCATTTATTAATTCATTAAAATTCGATCACATTTTTTTCGAGATTAAACACAAATACCCAGGAATATTAATAGTAATTTATATACGCGTATAATAAACCGTTGAAAAGATAAATCATTTAGAACAAAATTATAAATAATATAAAAAATAGAAGATGATAATGAATAGACAAGATTAATTTGGGAATAATTGTAGTCGTTAATAGTATCTACTGTTATAATAACCGTTTTCTTCATAATGATAACATTTACTAGATATCTGTTTTTTTTTGTTAATTGAAATGAATTATTTTTTAAATCCACTGGCTTTAGCACCAGTGACGCGGTTGAGAGAGTAGCGCAGAGATCTCTTGGAGTCCTGCTTTTCCTTCTATAGTTGGAGGGAGAAGCCTGGTTTGGGGTTCCCTGCCTAATTGTATATATTTTATATAAGTATGACTGTGTTTTTATATTTTTTAATTTACTTTAAAAAAAAAAAATCTGTACCACTACAATCCATGAAGGGTCTTGGGTTCAGTACCATTTAGGGAAAGCACTGTTTATAGGTCAAGGGTTGTGCAAGGAGGCGATTTGACCGAGATCACGCTCAACCGCCAGCTTTTTTCCCTTAATCAATTATTTAATTAAGGGTACCCACTTTACAGAGGCTGGGTGTGCCCCAGGAGGGTCTCCAAACCCAGGGTCGCCCCACGGCCAATGAAACAGAATAAATAAATTTCTGCCATGAGCCGGGATTCGAACCTGGGATCTTTAGCATTGGAAGCTCAGTACCCTACCACTGAGCTACCCCACTCACTTATCTTTAGGTTATTTTATTTTTTTATTGTACATAGTTTTTTATTATTATTTTACTTTTGTTAATATTATATTTTCTGTATATATGGTGTGAATGTGTTCATATATCAATATTTCAAAAGTTGTTCAAAGGAGGTCTGAATCGTGGACTAAAGGGTCCTTATACTTCTTCCAACTAAAGGGTGGACTAAACTGTCCTTATACTTCTTGACTTCTCTAAAGCCTTTGATTCCATTAACCATCCCATCCTTTTCAACAAACTAAAATCACTCTCCTTCTCCAATAGCTCCATCTCTTGGTTCCAATCTTTCCTATCACAACGCACCCAAGCAGTCTCCATTCCTAATCAACCACTATCTACCTACCTGCCTTTATCCTCTGGAGTCGCCCAAGGATCTAGCATATCTCCTCTCCTTTTTAGTTCCTTTATCAATGACCTCCATGACTCAATCCTCTGGAGTCACCATATTTCTCACATCTCCCGACGGACAGTCTCTACCCTCAAACTATTCCATTGCTTCCGCCATCTCCTACCTCAACATACGCGCAGACTCCTCGTTTCCTCTCTCATCTTCCCCCACTTTGACTACTGCTGTGTGGTGTATGATGGACTCTCGGTGGAGCTCCGCGACAGACTGAAAAGAATAATGAACAGTTGCGTGAGATTTGTAATTGGTGCCCCGAGATACTACCATGTCTCTCACCATTACACTGAGTTAGAGTGGCTCTTCCCCTCCATTCGAAGACAATATTTCCTAGGTACATTCCTCTATCATATCATCAACAATCATCGTCCTTCCTACGCTGACAACCTTCTCCAATTCAAGTCCTCAGTCCACTCCCTCTCCACAAGATCTCGACCTTCCGACCTTTACATTCCTTCTCACAGATCTGCCTCGTTCCAAAACTCCTTTATTGCACGTTCTGTTAGTTTCTGGAATTCCCTTCCAATCAAAATTCGACATTCTTCATCCTTATCTACATTCAAAACCCTCCTATTCCAATTCCTGTCCCAAAAACAGTCAGGCACCAGCTAATCTTTTATGTAAAATTACACATTATATATAAGACCATATTCACATATAGCTCATGACCTCAATACTTATTATAGATTCGACTTTCTTTTTCTCTTTTTTTTTTTTCTGTTTCAACAGAAACAGATTTTACTGTTAAGAAGAATATACATTTATTTTTTCTGTATTTTTTATTTTTTCTGTATTTTTTATTTTTTCTAAAAGGGTTTATTTATGTTTTAACATCGTAAATAGTTTTAAGTATCTTAGTATGGTTTCAAGAGTTTTTTATATAGATTTTTATATTTTATTTTGTATATAGTATGTATAACCAATATTTTTTTTCTTTTCTTTTCTTTAATGACCTATCATTATCTTAATTTGTTATGTTTGTTTTTATCTGGCCAGATGTAAAATTTTAATTTCTGTACTTTTTTGTTATTCTGAAGGGACTTCGTCCCAGAATAAAATTATTTTTCTATTCTATTCTATTCTATTCTATTCTAAAGGGTCATGGGTATGTTCTATTCAGTCCACACCTTAAGGGTCTGGGTGTGCCTGAGGATGATCTGCTAGTTTTGATTAACGGTTGATATAACTGAATAAATAATTACCTACAACAGCTTCAATACGGAGAATAGAGTATAGTGAGCAGATGCCTTACTCATTGAGCTATCCCGCTCCCCAAATTAATAAACGTTTCGTTAATATTACTTTAAGTATATAGTCAGAGTGTATAAAAGTATATATGTGCTTAAAACGTTTATTTTACTTGTTAAATTTAATTTTTTAAAATATTTTATATTGATTTATGCCTGTGTGTATTATATTGCTAGTATTTAATTTATTTATTTATATTTTCTGTAAATATGGCCTGAGAGTGTTAATTCATCACTATTAACCATAATTAAGACGCGATGTAATATTATCGAATAAAGGAAGTAAGTAAATAAAAAAAAATGAAAAGAAAACAATAATGACTTGTCAAGGAAAATTATTACAAGATACAATAATGCTGCTCAAAAGTTATTTTTGTTATGTTAAGCTGAAAATAAATGTTATCATTATGAAGAAAACTTTTATTTTCAAGCAACTATTATAAAAGTAGATACTACTAACTTAATTATTCATAGATTAATCTCGTCTATTCATTATCATCTACTATTTTTATACTATCTATAATTTTTTTCTGAATTATTTATCTTTTTAACGGTTTATTATACGCCATTGACTTGAACCTTTCGTCAATAAGGAATTCTTTTATGAAACTGAATGAAAAAGTTCCCATTTCAGTCAATTTGATGTTTCTTAAACATTCGGGGGGGTAACGCAATAATATATCGATTAAGCATCATTATCAAACGGGAATGTTTCAATTTACGATACCGTTATTATTTTCTCTAAGCGCCTCTGTCACTCAAACAGGATGAAAGGAATATTTTTTTTCTCGAGTTTCATAAAAGTATCACTTTTTGACGGAAAGTTTAAGTGGAGTTAGAGGAACGACTACGCATACCATACTTAATCCTTTTGTTAATTTTTTTTGGCACCTCAATTCTACCCACCTCTCAAAAACTGGCGCTCTGGGCAAATGCCCAGTCTGCCCCTTTATAAATCAGGGTCTGCGAATGATGCCTCTCAACGGTTTGGTCCAAGGGTCTGGTTTCTAAGGAGTTGAGATTTTCACATTTATTTAATTTTATTTACCATTTAAAACGTTTTAATTATTTTTTTAAAAGTAATTATATTATTTCATCACCCAAGACATTTTAATTTTGTTCCTTTCAGGTCATCGAAGACTGGAAATACATCTCCATGGTCTTGGACCGGTTCTTCCTCTGGGTCTTCACACTGGCCTGCATGGTCGGTACCTGCTGGATAATATTCCAGGCACCCTCCCTCTACGATCAGAGGATCCCCATTGACCAGAAGCTTTCGGAGATACCTCTCAGGAAGAGCATGTACGCTGTTCCAGCCGATTACGTTGCCAACCATCCTGAATTTTAAAGTGGTAAAATTACCAGAAAAAGAAAAAACCATGTACGTATTTGAAATTCAAAATGATATTCTTTTGATGATTCATGTAGTAAAAGGGGAATATTTGTCAAAGAGATCGCAATGATATAATTATTTTATTTACTATGTTATATTTTATTTCACAGGTATTATTAACCTATAAATTAGCAATTTTATTTTCAGTCTATAAGCTTGGTATTGCGTTTTTTAAAAAAAATTATCAACATCTTGGCTAGAAAATTCGCTTGTTTTAGCCTAAATGTTTAAAAATATTGGTATTAAAATATTTGAAAAGGAGTGTTGATGTTGGGAATATGAAAAAATTGAGATTTTTTTTTTTTCATTTCAATTATTATGCTTATCTAAATTATGAAGTAAGTTTAACAACTGAACAAAATCTAAAAATTTTAATTCTCGACGTTTCGAAATTTTCATAACTACATCCAATAATATAAATGTTATTACAGTTTACCTGATATTAATAATTTAAAAAAAAAAATTATTTAACGTTCCGCTTGGAGTAGGTGATTATAATATTTTTCTTGCAAATTGTGAAATTATTTAACTGTTGAATTCAGTTTTATCAGTAGAGGAAAAATGTAAAAAAATATTAATTAATTGAAGGCAACTGTATTAATGTGTTATTTCAGTTCAATTTATTTATGTTCATGTAATACAACTTAATATTCCTATAATCTTTAATGATTATTGTAGTCAAAGTTTAATACACAATAATAAATTATTATTTTAATATATATGTATATATATATATATATATATATATATATATATATTATATATATATATATATATATATATATATATATATATATATATATATACATACATATATACACATATACATATATATATATTAAATAGTAAAATGAAATATTGAAGAGTGTGATACCAGACCACAATAGCTACAAAAAAGCTTATACAAACAATGGTTCAATTTTCTGCAGAAAACTAGGAAATTTAAGTTATTTTATTTTTTTTTTTAAGTGTCATGTTTTTTTTTTTTAATCGGAAGCTATAACTAAAAAAATATTTACTTTACGTAATTAACAATTGCTCTACAGTAAACTAGACAAAATTTACTTCGAAATAAAAATGATTTTGTTATTGTTGAAACCATTTAATGAGTACATATTAGCGGCTAAACTAAGCTAAGTTCTGGTTTTAAAAATACATAAATTATTTTCGATTTGTTTTTTTTTATCATCCTCCAACTATACTACAGACACCACACTTTTAGAAAAGCTTTCTCCTTTAAAAACTTTTAAGTTGTTATCACCGTAATATACAATATTAATTGATATAAGGTTTATTAGGGAAAAAAAGTAGAAATTCAGATGAATTTATTTAAAAAAAAAATTATATGATTTTATACTGTCAACTAAATGTAACCGTGTTTTCGGCAAAAACGACTATAATAAATTATTTTAAGCTATAATTTTTTTTTCTCTATCACCTGAGGATGTATTGTAATAAGTATAAATGCATAAATACATTTTTATTTCTAAAAAATATATATGTTAAAATAATGATTTTTCGATTATTTATAATCTAAGAAGGGTCCGCAAAAACCTTCAGTCATGCCCGCATCACAGTAAATTTTGATGACCCTTTATTGTTGACCTTAGTAAATTTCAAGTCCTTTTTATCATTGATCGTAGTAAATTTAATCACTGTTTTCTCAAAAACAATTTCTCTAATTTACGAGGGTGTACTTAGAATTTAATTATCTTGAACAGTTTTTGAGCAATTCTTTCTTGTTTAATAAAAACCATGACTGTGTTAAGAAGAAACTTCGTTTGCGTACGGAATCAACCAATGCATCAAATGAACTTTTTTTGTTGAAAATTTTGTCTAGAATCACCCTCAGAGTTTTATCATTAAGAAGTGAGAGATTCTGTATATTTGTTTTTAAATAATTAAAATATTAATTTACGTATGTAAAGATGTCTTCATATTCCCAACGGTGACATAACGGTTTGTTTAGTTTTGTTTTTTTCAATGCGTGCTTGCTCTCGGAAAAGGATTATTTAACGCTGAAACAAAACTGTATTATATATTTTGTAAAATAGCAATGTATTTGTTTGTTGCATGTGTGTAATAGATGGTCGATAAATGTGATAGCTGTGTTGAGTTAGTTATGATTTATTTTAACCCGTTTATTCTACTAAGCCCCCGCGGCTTAGAGAAGCAAGGCCTGATGCTCTGTGAACACTAAGTATAAGTATAAGGCTTAAAAGCCTTAAAATTTGTACATATGTAAAGTAAATGTAGATATTAGCGTACAATAATATCATTATATATTTATTATATAGTTATTATATAGATATTATAATATAGTACTAAGTGAGTCACCTTGTCCTAAAAGGACAGGTGCGTGCTAAATCACATGTTCCACAAAGTTAGACATTGGGTTCTGTAGTACATCTATGGACCCAATATTAGAATATTCCTCCCTTTGATTTATATTTCTCGACTTCAAAAATATATTTACATTGAGTTAAAAAATAAATAAATAAAATAAAAATCGTCATATTATTTAGTACATTCCAATGATATATTGAAGTTTTTTTTTTTAATATTTTCGATATTATGTTCTCTTTAAAAATACTATATATTAAAGCGAACTATGTCCGTGAGTGTGGAGAGTATTAGTAACAATCACACATCGTTGAACATCAAATATAAGGAAAGTCGTGACTAAAAATAATTCAATTATATAAGTGCCCAAAAACGGATATCTGTCATTTTCAGAAAATGCAGAAAAGGTCAATTTTGTTTTACAGGTTCAAAAATTGACATTTAAAAAATCATCAAAAACAGTTCGAGTTTTTTAAATTTTTATTTATTGAATAATATAACAATCTGTCACATGTCAAAGAGGTCATTGGTTATAGGGATGTAAGATAGCTTTGACACAGTATTTACAATATAAAAAGAACTAAATAATAATCAAAAAGTATATACAATAAATAGAATAAAATAACTTAAAGATAAGTAAATTAAAGAAAAAAAAAATGTACACTATATACAATCAGGGGAGAGAACTCCGAGGCAGGCTTGTCCCTCCAACTATGAAGGGAAAAGCAGAACTCCAGGAGATCCCTCCGCTACTATCTCAACCGCTTTAGCCACATAATAATAATAATACTTTATTTATCCTGGGACAAGTCCCTTTAGAATAATACAGGAGGATAGAAATGTGGGCTAAGGAGGCTCAGAGACACATAAATAAAAATACAGAGTAATTGAACAGTCTTGGTGGAAAAAAAAAAAAATATATATATATATATATACACACACTCACACATATACATATAAGTTGCTTTCCAATTTTTATAATAAAAAAATAGATAAAAAAAATTGGAGTACAAATAGTGAAGAACGAACTAATAATTTATGTACATATTTACAGTAGTATCTATTTACGATTTTATGGGGACTGGATGTATAAGAACTGATTGAACAGGCGGGATTTAAAGGTAGGAAGGGTATTGGATTGAGGGATGTGGGAAGGGATGGAGTTCCATAGGGATGAGGATCGGATAATAAACGATTTGTCGAAAGCAGCGAGCGTTTCGGTGGGCCCTTATGTATAAATCAGAAGACTGGGAACGAGTATTGCGGGAACGAACAGAGGATTTGAATTGAAGGAGCTCGGAGATGTATGAGGGACGGTGGGATTGGATGACTTGAAAGAGGAAGGATGCTAGGAAATACTTACGACTCATGTCTTGAGAGGATAATCTGACCATTGCCAGAATTCCAATTTATATAAACTACAAAAGATCGCGGGACCACTGCCTTTTTAACCTTCTTGGAGGATTACAGGGATGAGTGGTGTTGAGTGGTGGGGGATTGTACAAGAGGATTTTGAGTCCGAGTTAAACCAAGAAAACAAAAATTGACTTCTTCTTAACGTTTTGAAAATGACTGATGCCCGTATTTGATATGAGTGGTGTTGAGTGGTGAGGATTTACATGAGTCCAAGTTAAACCAAGAAAACAAAAATTACTTTTTCTTAACGTTTTAAAAATGACAGACGCCCGTCTTTGATATGTGGTCATTCCTATAATAAAACTGCAATCATATAAGATACGTATCAAAGTTATTTTTTTCATTTCCTACACGGTTTTAGAGATTCAAATTCTGCAAAGTAAAATGTACCCTGAAAACAAGTTAATTTGTAAGATAAAAATAATTTAACTTAACGAAGTTCCCATTGGTTTCAGTTGGCATATAATAATCTTTTTATAGAAGCCACAATCTCCTTGAGAAATGATATCAGTCAGAATAAAGGGTTTGGATTGTTAGAATTCTTTATAAACTGGGAGGGAAGTTAATAAAATCTTTGGGCATAGGAACCATTTTTTTTTTCTCGATTAACTGATCTCAAAAAATCTGATACTGCTCATAAAAAACATCTTATATTGCCAGAGCCATTTGTAAACAAAATAAAAACACGTAAGTTGATAATTGCAGAAATAGAAAAGTTATTCGTCCTTAAAATTGCCAACTCATTTTATGAGAAAAACGATGGAAATAGATTTTGACTATTTGAATTTAAATAATTGACAAAAATACTAAACTTGACAAAGAATGTGCACAGTTCGTACTGTGATCAATCTGCGTACATTAATAATAAAAATAATATTTAATTTATTCAAGCGATAAGGAAATATAAGATGTTATTTATTATTTTGAATTATTTCTACTTTTGATTTGTATTATTGTTATTATACGTTTGCCATTGCTGGATCACATTCAAGCATACGTTCAATTCAAGCATTTATGTATTTTATTCAATGATTATGGAAGTGTACTTGAATGAAGTATAAACAGAAAATATTGGAGATAAGTTCGTTTATAATTATAATGATTTATTATTATTATTATTACATGGATATTATTGAAGTTGAGAAAGATTTCCTCCCAAATTATTAGCTATAGGGTCTATTAGATAATAAATGTAG